TTTATTGATAGTTGCTTATTAAAAATTTTTAGTTTTTAAAAAAATTATCACCGCCATTACTTTCGCCGGAGACTGTATTACCATGTGATTGTCACTAAATTTTAAATTTTTAATATATGATGAACAACTTTAACATCAAAATCATATATCTTTTCTGAAATGAATTAATTGATCAAAACCTTATCATATTTTCATTTAGATTTTTATTACCAATGATTCCCCAATTATTACTCAACCAGAAGAAAGAAATTGCAAATTTGAAGGAATCTTAACTGGAATACTACACAAAGTATAGCGTGTAGTATGTCTAGCAACATCTTAATTATTGCCGTATCCATAAGTTTTTCTTGTAAATTTATAACAGCCAGATTATAAAAATCTCACTACCAACTTCAAGTCTATTAATGGGAACTAACTTTGCATAGGAAATCACACCCAATTAATTGATACTAAAAAGATTGTAACTCATTTTAATTGATGTGATATCTAAAGGAGCTGACGATAGATAACTTACGATTTTTTCTTTGTCTCTACAACTTTATGTTTTTTTTTGTTGAATAACAGTAATAAGTCCATTAAAAAAAAAAGAACAAAGAATTTGTGGCAAAGCAAGCGAATAGTTTGTAAGAGACACGAATTCTGAAAATTTTCTTTTATTGCTCCACATAGTAATTCTTCAATTGCATCCCAAAATTACTGTTTTTTTTGTATTGCTTAAGTCTATTTAGATAACTTCGTTATCTCAAGCATTGGAAGTAATGACAAAATGACATTTTGTTTTTCATTTCATCATGAGATTTGGCTTCCAAATATTTCTAGAGCTTTAGTTAAATCATCATCATGCATATGAACTTACTAGTGCCTTTCTCCATCAAAACAATCGGAACAAATACACAATGAACGAAATCCATCTTTCGATTTAGTAAAAAAAAATCGAGACATAGTTTTGCGAGATTGAAATCTCAAGCAAGGAATCCTAATGTTTGCACAGTACATGAATGCTCAGAGCATCCATTACATTTAAAGAAGCCTTTGAATGTTTACAACATGTATAATGCAGTTTACTTTTGTCATGATTTTTTTTAGAAAGTGTCGATAACGCACATCAAGATTATCACCACGATTAACTTCTCAAATACATTTAAGCTAAACAAGAGATCTATTGAAATTCTCTCTATGACTGACTATTACATCTTTGAATCCACAATTACATGAGTATTTCAACAACATCCATATTCTCTTCTAAACCAAGATCTGGATCCCTTATCGATCAATTCATATAATAGATACTTTGCTTGAAAATGATTTCAATTAGGCTCCATACGTACATAAATTGATGGCATAACTTTTTTCCTTCGCGTTATAAATCAAAATAAATTAGATTTTCAAGATTGCTTTTGAAAATAAAAGGTTACAATCGCTGATGAACGTTTTTGGATGATGATCTACTTATACCATAAAGTCTGGAAAGATAGTGCCCCGTGTCATTGACTTTTTATGGTTTGTCACGCACAATTTCATAGAAAATTGATATTTGACATCTGGTGCTATTTTTCCAGACTTTACGGTAATTATGATTTTTTTGTAGATTAAAATTTTAATGTAATAAAATGGATTTTTAATTATCAAATAGAGGTTCTTTGGCGATTTTCTTTCACAACCTCCTAAAATCTCCTCATTTTAACTGGACTTGTCATCTTCTGTTTTTTTTTTCTAGAATAAATACTAGTGACTATTGCCAAATAATGGCGGTGATGATGGTATCAATTTTTCACAAATGGATGAATGATATGCAAAAATCTTGCAGCCGATATATATATAAAAGAATTGGTAGAGGAGGAGTGACAAATGAAGAATTCTATAATAAGTTACAAGACTTCATGAAATTCGCTGGTGGAATTAATTTAAATGATATGGAGTGTTTGATAGTGTTGGCGGTAGAAGTAGTAATAACCGTGACAAAATCGGAAAGCCACCAAGTAAATTCAGGGATCAAATTTAGTCATTTGTAATGTGATCATAATTAATATCCCATTGTTATCTTAATTCGTGATTTGTGATACAAATGCTCAAAAATTTGAAAATTAATTAGTAAATCAGTAAATTGTGGGGATATTAAAACATAAATTCAAAACATGTCAAAATCTCAACTCGCTTACTATACAATTGTGTATTTATTCTACATAATTATGACTAAAAGTAAAATATTTGCTCCTACACTTATTTCTTGTGGTCTCATTATTCCTGAATTACATTTTGGACCTTTTTCATGTAATTGGTGGTTGGAAATAATTACTGACAATGGGCAAGAATCATTTCCTATATGGGTAGGAATGTCAATAGTAACAGAATTAAATGGTCAAAATTTCACTGTACATGTTTTTAAAGGTAGTGAAGGTCAGTCAGAATATATTTGTGAGTCTGATGAAGAAAAAGATCATATAAGTAATGCTCTTAATGCATTATATCAAAAAATTTAAAAAAAAACCAAATATTCTGGAGTGAATGAATTTGGTTTAGATGATCTTTTAATATCAGAAAAACTTCTAAATGGTGTATTATAGACAAAGGGTGCTTCAACAATGGTTGATGAAGCATTAAAAGAACAGGCCACTGAGGCCAACTCAATACCAAGAGTATATTTGATCTGTGATGCATCATCTGACAATGTCTTCAAAGCTCCAGTAAAAGTGGTTCATTTGCAGGAAATCCTCCATTTTCGAAAATCGCAATGCATTATGCCTATACCTGTTTCAATTTATCGACAATAAGGAGAATATCCATTCTCCAAATGGTTTGCATAATGGAGCCAAGACAATAAAAGTCATGCCAGTGTTACCATAATCAGCTAAATTAAGATCGGGTATTTTGAGAAAGCAAGCTAAATCCAACTTCTCCATTATCTCCATCTCCTTGTTGCAAACATTCAAGGAATGTGCATATTGTAATACTCTATCATTATCGTAAAGGCCTTTGTACATCACAGATGTTTTCCCT